CACAAGTGAGTAAATGCACTGATTATTACAATTTTTGACTTTTTTCCGACAGAGAGAGAGAGAGAGTTAGAAAGTATAGATAGATGTGCACCCTATCAGAGCTTATATTAAACTTAATTTAGTTTAAGATCATCAGCATCTCCTCTACCAGTGCTATATTACATACTCCTCTCTCTCTCTCTCTCTCTCTCTCTCTCTCTCTCTCTCTCTCTCTCTAATGATAACTATTATATGATTTTTACATTTAAAAAATATTTTTTGAATATTTTATATGTTTTGCTTATAACTTTTTATTGTTGTAAAAAATATATAATAATAATAATTAAAATATTATTATTCAAATAAATATTTACAAATAATAATAATATTTTGTTTAATTTATAAAAATTAAATTTATATAATAAAATACAATTATATAATTTGAAATAATATTATAAATACATTAAATATTATATATATATGGAGCAAATAGCAAATATTTTTTGCTAAATAAATAATAGTAACTAACTATAACTAATTTAACAAAAATAATAATAATAAACTTTATTATTTAATCAATATTATTTATTTAAATTATTTTATTATATATTACAATATATATATTTATTTATAAAACTAAAACTAATTATTTGATCATTAATATATAACGAAAATAAATATTATATAGTTTTAATAGATTGTTGACATTATATTAAATTTTATGTATTAATATTAAGTATTTTATAAAATAAAAATGTTATTATAATATAATAATTACTTAAACTTATTGCGTAAACAGTAATATCTATTTTTTTAAAAAAAAGTAAGTAAAACTTATTGTAAATTTTAGTAAATATCAAAACAACTAAAAGTAAATTAAAAAAAATAATTCATTAAAACTATTAAATAAAAATAAACTATTATATAACTTATTAATTTCATAACATAATATTTATATAAAAAAACTAAATCGATATAATTTTGTTTAACAAATTGTAATAATGCTTATAATACTAATAATACAACTAATAAAAAATAATAATAATTATATTATTATAATTTATAATTAAACAATAATACAGTATTATATATTTAAATAAATAAATTATAAGTGTGTTTGTAATAAATATTTAAAATAACATTTTGTTTTTTTTTAAAAAAAATATATAGAAATATTAGACATTTAAAAAATGTCTAGTTTTTCTGCCCGACAATTATTACCTCCAGATATTGCCTACAAATGGTCGGCCTATCATTTATATCGTATTGGTCTAAGTGGTCATCAAATATTAGCCGCCGCCGATAATTGGCCAGCAAATAGACAATGGTTTTATCGACCATTAGTTGTTTATGTCGTTAGTTTCATATATTTAGTGGAAAGGATTGTCTGTATAGTAATCAATGCAAACAATTGGCAAATGGTTGTCCTGTTTGGCGACTGGGCCTACCTATTGGGTACAAAAAACATGATTAACCTAATGATGGCCTTGTTATCCGTATTACACATACTATCGTTACTAACCTATCGCTATAACTATCGGTCGGCTATTGAACCGAAATTTTTAGCAATTTTCCAAATGATTGGCGGTTTTCGGTCGCCGGCAAGTGTTGGCCTCCATGATTACCATCAGATACATAAGCTTATCAATATGACTCGTAGACTATGCCAGGGTTGTCAGCTAGTTTGCGAATTACTATCGCCTACCGGTGCCGGACTATTGCTAATGATAGCCATGAAACACAAACAGCCAGCTAACTATTTAGCCATAATCTTATTGCTACCCAATTGTCTACTACTGGCTCTATGGGCATGTCATTTTTGGAGTTGCCTACTCTATCAGGTTATCTATTTCTATATACTGGTCAGGTATTTGGCAATTAAATTGAAATTGATTTATAAAAATATGGAAAATTATGAAAAATTTTCAACATTATTATCATTATTGAAATCATTGAATCAATTATGTTCACAAATTGATGACTACAATCAAACCTATTGGTCTAAATTTTTATTATACGTTTGGCTGACATTTGGTTTGGCTATTGTTTTGCTAATACATACCGTATTGTTTGTATCGATTAGTCCGAAATTATTAATAATTTTATGGTATTTTCTATTAATATGTTTGACTGGATTTTTGTTTATCATATTTACTGCAGCATCCATAACACATTTAGTTAATAAGTCATATAAATTATTAAATAAACATATTTTTTATTATCATAAAATTTGATTTTTTTTTGTAAAAAATAAACAAATAATATTAATATTTTTAAGTATAAATTAAAAATATATTATTATCATGCTTTCCCATCTATTATAATTATATTTAAAAAAATGTTTTACACAACAAAAATAAATCTGTATATAAATAAATTATATTTTAATTAATAAATGTATTTTTCTTATGTTGTATTGTATTAGTTAATTAATCTATTAGTTATAATTTTTTTTTAAATTTTATTTATATTGTGTATAACTATTGATAATTATATATAAAATTATATATTTTTTTGTTAAAAATTATTAACTCAAATCTGTAAAATATAATTTTTACTATACATTAATGTTTTTTTTATAGATTTATATATAATATTTATATTGTTTAGAAAAAAGTAAACTAGATAAAAGTATTATTATTATTATTGTTTTTATAACAAGATATAAATTTTTTATTAAACATTATTTACTTAAATAATTTACAAAAATTAATAGCTACTAAAAATAACTTTTTTTTAAAAATTATTTATTTGAAAAAAATATAAATTTCCAAAAAAAAATCGATAAACAAAAAAAATGCTATTTTTAAGTAAATAAGTTTACAGTTGTATTTATTTGGTAATATTATATTGATTTTATAATATTATAAAATTAGTTGACCAAAAAATATATATATAAAACTTTTAAATAAATAAATAAATAAATTTATTTTTTAAAAAAATAAATGTGTATTTATTTCCAATAGTAGTAAAACATTATTATGTTTATATACCGTACAGTACAGTACCTGTACATCAATTATTTTAAATAATCATTTAATTTACTGTAATTAAGATTAAAGATAATAAAAATAAATAAAAATAACCTCATAATCGATAAAATGAAAAAATATAAAACCATTTATTTAAGTAGTTTTTTATTTGACATTTGACTAAACGGTAGAAAACAGTTTTTTTTAATTATTATTATTATTATTATTATTATAGAAAAAAATGGATAATTATTCCGCAAAATACTTATTGCCGGCAATTGTATGCTACAAATGGTCGGCCTATCATTTATATCGTATTGGCTTAACTATGGATAGACTGGCCACTGATTGGTATCCAAAAAGACAATGGTTTTATCAACCGTTGATAACATTTCCGATAACTCTAGTATTTCTATGCGAACGGGTTGTCTGTATTTTCATGGACGACACTAATACTGATAATTGGCAACTGTTTGCACTGTTAGGCGAATGGACATACATTTTGGGTAACAAACTGTTGATCAATGCAATGATCATATTGTTGGCTGTATTGATAGTACTGTCGCAGCTAACCTATTACTATAACTACTGTCGGGGTATTGAACCAACATTTATGCATTGTTTTCAAATGATGTCCGGTTTGCGTACACCCATGAGTGTCGGTCTAACCAACCAACCCCAGGATATCGTCAAACTAATCAAATGGATGACCCGTTTGTGTCAGTTTCTCCAACTAAACAACAATACACTGGTACCTATGTGTGCGGTAATTATCTTAGTTGCCTACTCTGTCCGATTGCCGGCCAGTTATGTCATGGGCTATGGTATACCCAATGCCATACTATATGCCTATTTGGGTACCTATTACTGGAATGTTTGCAGCTATCAGTTAGTCTACTTTTACATACTGTGCCGTTATTTGAAATTAAAACTATGGATAGTCTACGATCAGTTAGCCCGTAGACACCAGTATCGGCTACGGCCGCCGCCGCCTATCCATAGTCGACGACTACCTAAACCTACGTATTTATTACCGGTTAGATTATTGGACAAACTATGCGCACAAATTGCCGACTATAACCAGACTTATTGGTCAAAACTTTTATTATACTATTGGCTAACGTTTGGTTTGGCAGCTGTAATGATATTATATTTTTTTATGTTCAACTCGTTTGACTTATGGTCTAATCTGATACTAATGTACGGCTGTTTGCTATTTGTTAGTATATTTTTATTTCTCATATTTACCGCCGCATCCATCAACTATTGTATGGGTAAAACATATCGACTAATGAATTCATGTTTATTTTATATTTAATCAATATATATATATATATTAAAGTATATATTATATATATATATTGAAATTTAATTTTGTGTGTGTGTGTGTGTGTGTAAATTAGGTTTTAATTGTTAATTATAATAAATACTAATATATATATATATATACTATATTGTACTAATTATATTTAGTTAAATTGAATTAAAAAAAATAATATTTTAAAAATAAGTTATGTGTTAATAGCTTTAGGATACTATTATATTTATTTAATGTGTATTTAAATTAAAAAAAAAAATTATTTTGAATGCCAAAATAATTTACACAATTTTTTATTTAGTTATTTGAATATAATTTAATATTATTATTATAATAATTATAATTTACTGTATATTGAAACTTATTATTATTATTTTTTATTTAAAAATAATTATCATTTTAATATTTAGAAATCTAAATCTTATCTAACTATTAAATTTTTATTGACTTATATTGATAATATAATATATTTAATTATTGTATATAAATTATATAATATAATGTATAATAATAATTATTATTGCTATTATATTATAATTATATTCTGATATAATTTTTAAAAAAAATATTAATAAATAAATTACTAAATAAAACAAATTTATATAAAAAAAATAAAACTATTGTTTTATTTGAGATTATTAACTGCATATATAACATGTAATTATAATTTACTGTATATATAATACAACTAAAAATTGTATTTTTTTTATTATAAAAAACAAAAATACCCGTTTCTCAGACATAGTTGTCCTCTTTGACCATTTGAGCACATTTTTCGCCAATCATTAGCGTAGCGGCATTGATGTTGGCGTTAACTATTAGGGGCATAACCGAGGCATCGCATACACGCAGACCGTCCATACCTTTTAGCCGCAATCGCGGATCGACTACAGYCTCGGGACTATCGACTGGACCCATACGACAGGTACCGGCCGAATGAAAGCCGACATCGGTTTGCTGTTCAATAACACATCGGATATATTGGTCACATTCGTGTACGAAACCGGGACACAGTCGACAACCGGGTATCGGACGTATAGGTGCCAAGTATTTGGCAATAGAGCTGATCTCGAAAAATCTGAACATATATTTCAGAGCATCGACTAAATCTTCATAATCTTTCGGATGCGACACAAATCGTGGATTAATACGCGGATAGACATACGGATTGGCCGACTGTARCCGTACATAACCGCGACTGCGGACACGTTGTAGTAGTGTGTGTACAAAAAAATAGTATTTACCGACAAATTGCCGATTAAACTGATCCCATTCGCGTTGCCGGTCGTAGCGTACTGTCCATTCGGTTAGGTTTTCGGGAAACAGATAGAGACCGGTTTCGAAATCGACATTCGGATAGTCGTGTCCCTCATCTGAAACGGTTGGCGTATACATATAGGTTATGGCCCGATAGTGTTTGGTCAGTGGACCCCGATGATGGGCGTAAAACTCGTACAAGTTTTCCATGGTTACCTGAGCACCGGTACCGTACATTGGCCGGTAGGTATCGTTCAGGAGAAAGTTCAGCGAAACGCCGGCATGATTTTGATAGTACTCGCCCACTGCCGGCAGGTCGGCCACCACTGGTATACCGAACTTGTCTAACTGTTTACGCGGTCCGACTCCCGACACCATCAGTATATGTGGCGATTCAATGGCACCTGTAGTTAGATTCGGATAATAACTATATATATATATAAAAAAATAAAGTTGTTTTTGCATACCGGCGCTCAAAATAATCTCACGTCTAGCATAAACCGTATGTTTCCTACCGTATCTCTCGTATTGGACACCGACCGCATGTTTGCCCGAAAATAAAATACGTGTCACGTAGGCATTGGCCAATATATGGAGATTATTGGGATAGGGATTCGGATCGATATAGCCGTTCGATGCACTCGACCGGACACCGTCGGTACCTATGAATGCCTGGCCTAATGTAGTACCAAATTGTTGCGGACCGTTGATATCCGTGCTATCGAAACCAAACTCATTGGCCGCCCGCTGATGTCTGATCATAATCTCCGGCGGATTGGGCCACGAGGACACCTGTATACGGCCACGCGAGCTATGATAAGTGCCGCCATTGCTGACCAACAATTTCGGGTCGGTCTGGTTTTCCCAGCGCTTGAAAAACGGCAACACCTCTGCATAGGTCCAGCCTTTGCAGCCGTAAATGTTGGCCCAGTCGTCGAAACAGCGGCGATTACCGCGATTGTAGATCAATGTATTAACCGATGAACTGCCGCCAATCACTCGACCACGACTTTCGGGTATCCGGCGATTCGGAAATCCAATACCAACCGGCTGTTCGTCCAGAGTATAGTTCCAGTCGATAGGACTACCGAAAAACTCCCAGTAGCCGCCACCAGGTATGTCGGTATTGCCGCCGGCCGTTTGGCCGGCCTCCAGAAGCAGTACACTCACCCGTGAACCGCCGCCGCCGTCGACACCAATTTCGGCCAAACGTCTGGCCACTATCGAACCGGCCGAACCCGAACCGATTACAATAAAATCGTAATTCTGGCCAATCTGGTCGCGGTCTGTTTGGATAGATCGGTGTCGTTCATAGTTTTGCAGTATAAACAATGCTACTGATAGGTACAGTGGTACTACTAATGCAGCGGCACCGGTAGGTATCATATCTATATTTTATTATTATTATTATTAACTAACTATTATTACTAACTGATTCCCAACACAGTTACATGTATAGCACATCTATTTTGTTTTAAATAGAAATTTATTTATGAAAATTATTTTATTTTATGAAAATTATTTATTAACACTTTAATACTTATACAGTATATATAAATTATAAATAAAATAATTATTTATTAACACTTATATTAATATAAAAATAATTTATTAGTTATGCAAAATTTGCTAACCAATAATTAAATTTCTTATTAAAAATTACAAACTATTACATAATTATTTTTTTAGATGTAATTTTTTAAAAACAAAAACAAAAAATATTTTACTTATAAATATATCCAAAACTTTTTACTTAAAACATAGTATTGATTATATATATATCAGTATATAATTTATAAATATTTCTCAGAAAAATTGCATATTAAATTTGAAAAATTTTGCAATTAATACAATTAATATAAATTATAGGTATTTTTAAAAATTTCATTTTAAATAATACTAATAATAATAATAAAACTCGTTTTTCATTGAAAAACACAATAGATTTCAAAGTAAAATATCTAAATAGTAACTTTCATACAAACAGTTTGTATGTGTGTGTATGTATGTATGTGTGTGTGTGTGTGTGTGTGTGTGTGTATGTATGTRTGTGTGTGTGTGTGTGTGTGTGTGTGTGTGTGTGTGTGTGTGTGTGTGTGTGTGTGTGTGTGTGTGTGTGTGTGTGTGTGTGTGTGTGTGTGTGTGTGTGTGTGTGTGTGTGTGTGTGTGTATGTATGTGTGTGTGTGTGTGTGTGTGTGTGTGTGTGTGTGTGTGTGTGTGTGTGTGTGTGTGTGTGTGTGTGTGTGTGTGTATTTATATATGTGTGTGTACGTGTGTGTGTGTGTGTGTATGTGTGTGTGTGTATGTGTGCTTTTAATTAACTAATTTTTTAAAAACAAATTTAGTTTTTTATTTTATTATATATTTAATATACAGTATTTTTATGTGTTAATAGTTTAAGATCACTATAAGTTTGTTTGAGTGTGTATTTATTTTTTATTTATTTATTTTAAATGTCAAAATAATTAACACAATTTTTCTTACAATTAGTTATTTGAATATAATTTAATTTGTATTACATGTTGAAATGTAATTTTATACAAAAAATAAATAATTAAGTATAATAAAAATATTAGTATTTTTAATTATACAGTACTATTATTTAGATTTTTTTTATATATAGGTATTTACAAAATAAAATTATTTAACAATTTATTTAATTAATTAAATGTTGTATTATATACTTATTATTTTTTTCAAAAAACAACATTTATAATATTGTTTATTGATTGATTGACAACAAAAAAATTAAAGATTATTAAGTAATGTTAAAATGTCTATTGAATTATTTTTTTTATTTATAAAAGCAATTATATTATCTATTTAACTATTTTTTTGTTGAAAAAAATGTCCTATATTTTTAAATTAAAAATAGTGTATTTAATTCAAAATGTTTTTTTAATTAAAAATATTTTTTAAATAAATTAATTACGATTATATACCGTATATATAGTTATTATTTTAAAATAAAAATTATATTAAAATCATTAACTATTTTACTTTTAAACTATTTAAAGTTATTTTATACTATATATATATATATATATATATATATGCATTACTAACTGATTTACATTAAATTTATCTTAATAAATTATTAATATTTAATATGCATTCAATATAAAATTTTTTTTAAAAATATTGTATATTTAATATACTGCATATATAAATCTAATTTAATCTTATTTTAACTGTATAATAACTAATTGCAATTATTACATTTATTTATTTATTTTATGTCAATAAGCATTTCCTAGATAATTACTATTATTTTTTTCAATAACAATGTACCTGTAATTTAATATTACAATATTAATAAATTATTTTTTTATTAGTTATAATCAAAATTACATACAATTATGTTTTATAATATTTAACTTATATATCATAATATAATATAAATATAGTTATAATTGTTAATTGAATGATAATATATATATATATTAAGTAAATAAATAATACGTGCATATGATTAATAACAAAACAATATATTGCATAAATAAATAATACTATCTGGGTACAAGCAATAAAAAAATAATAAAAATTATTATGATTTTTTTAATCAATATTTCAATGTTTATTTAATAGATTGTTTTATATTATATGATTATTTATAGCTTCAATTTTTTCAACAACAAAAAATAATTGATTAAAAATTATTATACAATAAAATGTGCCAATAATCCACTACAACTACTTTTACTACTACTACTAATATTACTACTACTACTACACACATACATGTACACACAAACATTTGTATTGTTATACAAACAATAAAAACAAAAATTATTTATCAAAATTGAAATGTTTTTAATCATTATAGAATGTAATATAAATTTATGAATATATAACTATTAATAACTTTAATTTTGCAATTATTATATGGAAATAAATTATATATAAATATATTATAACTGATTAATAATATTATTTAATAAAAATACTGTACTGTAATATAATTGTGTCAATAATAATAAAATACTAAATTAGAAATAATTTTTCAATTTTTTTTATATATATACAGTATATAATATACAGTATAAATCTTTACAAACAAACAATAATGACAATCAGTTAAACTAAAATTTTAGATTTTAACTTTTAAAATTCAATTATTTAAAAAAAAAATTAAACTACATAATAATAATAATAATAATTAATAGATTGCCTAATAATACTAAATATAACTACAAACCCATAATAATGATTACTACCGGTGCCGTAGTAATACCATTGTTCCTATCGGTGGCACTGTATATACTGGACAACTATCATCGACACCGATCTGTCCAGACAGACACTAAGCTAATTGGCCAGACAGCCGTCTACGATTTTATTGTAATCGGTTCGGGTTCGGCCGGTTCGATAGTGGCCCGACGTTTGGCCGAAACTAAACAACGACCAAACGTACTGCTTCTGGAAGCGGGTGACACTGCCGGCGGCAATACCGACATTCCCGGTGGCAGTTATTGGGAGTTTTTCGGTACGGCCATCGACTGGAACTATACAAATGAGGAACAGGCGGTCGGAATCGGTTTTCGTGACCAACGGATACCCGAGAGCAGGGGTCGGCTGATTGGCGGCAGTTCATCAATAAACACGTTGATCTATAATCGCGGCAATCGCCGGTGTTTCGATGACTGGGCCAACATATACGGTGCCCAGGGATGGAACTATACAGAGGTTTTGCCGTTTTTCAAACGATGGGAGAATCAAACGGATCCGATGTTGTCGAACAGCAGCTATCATAGTACTACCGGACCGATACAGGTGTCCTCGTGGTCGGAACCGCCCGAAATAATGGCCAAACATCAGCGGGCGGCCAATGAGTTTGGTTTCAAATCGATTGACATTAACGGTGCGGAACAATCAGGGACTACAATAGCCCAGGCGTTTATCGGTACCGACGGTATCCGGTCGAGTGCGTCAAACGCTTATATCGATCCCAATCCGTATCCAAATAATTTGCATATATTGGCCAACGCTTACGTAACACGTATTATATTTTCGGGCAAACGTGCGGTCGGTGTTGAATATGAAAAAAATAATAGGAAGACAACAGTTAATGCTAGCCGTGAAGTCATTTTGAGCGCCGGTATGTAAATATTAATATTAAGAATATAATTATTATACATTAATTAACATAAAGTATACATTTTGTATATACAAAAAAAATCTACTATTCATCTATAGGTGCCATTGAATCACCACACATACTGATGGTGTCGGGTATCGGACCGCGTAAACAGTTAGAAAAGTTTGGTATACCAGTGTTGGCCGATTTGCCGGCAGTGGGCGAATACTATCAAAATCATCCGGGTGTTTCATTGAATTTCCTGCTAAACGATAATAACCGATCCATGTACGGTACCGGTGCTCAAGTAACTATGGAAAATTTGCACGAATATTATGCCAATCATCGGGGTCCATTGACCAAACACTACCGATCGATTACCTACTTGTCCACAACACCTAACAATACAGATAATGATGGTTCAGACTATCCGAACACTGACTTTGAAACCGGTCTCTATCTGTTCCCTGAAAACCTATCCGATTGGATCATACGTTATGATCGCCAACAAGAGTGGGATGAGTTTAACCGACAATTTCTCGGTAAATACTACTTCTTTGTTCATACAATACTACAGCGGGTCCGTAGTCGCGGTTATGTACGGCTACAGTCAGCCGATCCACATGTCTATCCCCTAATTAATCCAAACTTTCTTAACGATACCCAAGACTATCAGGCATTAGTCGATTCACTTAAGTTTATGTTTCGGTTTTTCGAGACCTCCTCTATTGCCCAATACTTGGAACCCATACGTCCGATACCGGGCTGTCAACTGTGTACACACGGCCTGATACATGACTGCACCGAATATATCCGATGTCTTATTGAACAGCAAACAGATACCGGCTTTCATTCAGTCGGCACCTGTCGTATGGGTCCAGTCGATAGCCCTGATGTTGTTGTTGATCCACGTCTACGGGTTAAGGGTATCAGTGGTCTACGTGTATGCGATGCCTCTGTTATGCCGCTCATTACCAACGGTAATGTCAATGCACCGGTACTTATGATCGGCGAAAAGTGCGCCCAAATGGTCAAAGAGGACAACCATTTGTAAGAGGGGGATGGAAAAGGGGGGGGTTGCAAGTTGTGTAATTTATTTGTAACTATTGGTACAATAAATATACATTAAATTTATAAATTTTTATAAATAAAAAATTTATAAACTATTTAAATAAATAAAAAAATTGAACACTAATTATATAAATGATTAAAATAAAATACAGTAAATATATTTTTTTATTCATTCAACAAGTTTTATGTGCTAATAGTTAGAAAAGATATTTTTAATTTTAATAAATAGCAAAATTTATTTGATTTTTAAAAAAATATAATATTAATAAATAATCACAAAACTGTATTTATTAGTATTAAATTTATTTATTTTGTTTTTTTGGGGGTGGAGGAGATGGTATCTAATCAGTGATTGATATACTGGGTATGGATGGACCCCTGTTTGGACCACTAGTTTTAATTGATGGTCCGGTTTGCAGATACCCCCCCACAAGCAATAGTGTTTTTTGGCATATATAAAAAATGGCACCACCAGGTTATACTGCTATAGTGCTAAAATAACAATTTTATTTTATATAACCCCCCCCCCCACTCTATCTCTCACCATTTAATATCTATACTTAATATTAATAAGTTTTTTTTATAAATAAGCAAAAAAATCATTTTCAATAACAAAGTCATTAATATTACATTATTTGTATTTTTGTTTATACAAACAATAAAAACACAAAAATAATTTATCAATATTGAAATGTTTAATCATTAATAGTATGTAATATTAATTACATTAGTTCTAATCAGCTTTAATTTTTGCAATTATTAGAGGATAATAAATAATATATATATATATATTATAACTGATTACTAAATATTAATTAATTAAATACTGTAATATAATTGTGTCAATACTGATAAAAAAAATAATGTAAAGAAATTCAATTTTTCATAAATTTTTTTTGTATATATATATATATCTCAACAAACAAACAATACTAACAGTTAGTTAAACTATAAATTTTAGACAAAACTCTAATAATAAATCAATCAACTCTATTATTAAATACACTAAAAACATAATCTAATTTCGTATCGTAAAAATATTGATATCATTAACTTTAAACTTTAATAACTTTTTTATTTTTTAACTTAAATAAACAAATTTGATATCAAATAATAGAGTAATAAATCACAATTAAATTGATATACTAGATGGTCAAAACAATGGTTTAAATAACAAAATATATCAAGGTAAAGTTATAGGTGTTAATAATTTAGGTACAAAAATTATTTTCGTGTTTTTAAAACGCGCGTGATTTCAGACACATTGTTGGGACCAATTGATTCCAATGCATTGTTATTAATTTGAATACACGTAAATAAACAGTAAATGCAGTGATTATCATAAAAATGGTTAAAATACAAGAATTTTCAGATGCAATTCGCCAACAAATGTATGATATGAGAGTCAGCACCGGAAAGTCATACGCAAAAATAGCGGAACTGTTTACAACAACTGATAATACTGTCCGATCAATTGTAAAGAAAGTCGAAAAGTACGGGACAGTTAGAAATCTCGCAAGAAGTGGTCGAAAAAGATGTACCAGTGCTAAACAGGACAGGATATTGAGTCGAATTGTGGCAAAAAATAAGAAGTTGACCACCGATGAGATTAAGGAAGAGTTGGCCGCCAGAAACATTTTGTGTCACAGAAACACTATTAGACACCGGATTCAAGAAATGGGTTATTACAGTGGTATTGCGCGAAGACGTCCAATGATAAGCCTAACAAATCAGAGAAAACGATTAGACTTTGCACGAAAGTACATCCGGATGCCTATGTCATACTGGAGGAAGGTCTTGTGGTCAGATGAGTCAAAATTTGAGATTATTAGTACTAAACGTCGCCAACGAGTGTTTAAAAAGAGAGGCGAAAGCATTAATCCTGATAATATATGTCCAACTGTGAAGCACTCGAAATCAGTTATGGTATGGGGGTGTATGACAGGCCAGGGAGTTGGCCATTTGGTCGAAATTCCATCAACTATGGACCGCTACATTTACGTTAACAATATTTTGACCCCACATTTGCTTCAGAGTGCCAGAGATCTACAAATAAGCGATGATTTTTTATTTCAAGCGGACAACGACCCAAAGCACACATCAAAATTGGCAAAGAAATGGTTGTCTGACAATCAAATTGAGACACTTGAGTGGCCGCCACAGAGCCCTGACCTCAATATTATTGAACATCTATGGGATGAATTGGACAGACGTGTGCCAAAGAGCGAAAGAAAAAGTTTTTCTGCGTTTAAAGAGTCGTTATTTAATGTCTGGAAAAATATACCTGAAGAAGTCACAGAAAAGCTGATCCAAAGTGTTCCAAGAAGATTGCAGGCTGTGATTGATGCCAACGGAGGCAATACTCGATATTAATATTGTTTTTACTAAATTAATAGCTTTATTTTGTTAATAATATTTAAAGTTTTGATTTCACGAAAATACTTTTTGTACATAACTTTTTTTACCATTTCTTACTTCTTATGCTTTTTTATAGATAATATGATAATTAATGCAATTTTATTTATTGACTTATAAACTTTGAAAAGTGTTCTTTCATTTGATATCAAATTTGTTTATTTAAGTTAAAAAATAAAAAAGTTATTAAAGTTCAAAGTTAATGATATCAATATTTTTGCGATACGATATTAAATTATGTTTGTAGTGTATATAATTAAGATATAAACTGTATATTAAAATCATTATAACTACAAACATAACTATGATTACTACCAGTGCCGCAGTAGTAGTACCACTGTTCCTATCGGTAGCACTGTATATACTGGACAACTATCATCGACACCGATCTGTCCAGACAGACACTAAACTAGTTGGCCAGACAGCCGTCTACGATTTTATTGTAATCGGTTCGGGTTCGGCCGGTTCGATAGTGGCCAGACGTTTGGCCGAAATCGGTGGCGGCGGCTCACGAGTTAATGTCCTGCTTCTGGAGGCGGGTGACACTGCCGGCGGCAATACCGACATTCCCGGTGGCAGTTATTGGGAGTTTTTCGGTACGGCCATCGACTGGAACTATACGATGGAGGAACAGCCGGTCGGTATTGGGTTTCGCAATCGCCGGATACCCGACAGTAGAGGTCGTGTGATTGGCGGCAGTTCGACAGTCAACAGATTGATCTACAATCGCGGCAATCGCCGATGTTTCGATGACTGGGCCAACATATACGGTGCCCAGGGATGGAACTATACGGAGGTTTTGCCGTTTTTCAAACGATGGGAGAATCAGACGGATCCGATGTTGTCGAACAGCAGCTATCATAGTACTACCGGACCGATACAGGTGTCCTCGTGGTCGGAACCGCCCGATATAATGGCCGAACATCAGCGGGCTGCCAATGAGTTTGGTTTCAAATCGATTGACATTAACGGTGCGGAACAGTTGGGCACTACAATAGCCCAGGCATTCATCGGTACCGACGGTATCCGGTCGAGTGCGTCAAACGCTTATATCGATCCCAATCCGTATCCAAATAATTTGCATATATTGGCCAACGCTTACGTAACACGTATTATATTTTCGGGAAAACGTGCGGTCGGTGTTGAATACGAACGTAACGGTGCAAACTATACGGTCAATGCTAGTCGTGAAGTCATTTTGAGCGCCGGTATGTAAATATTATTATTATTATTATTATTTAATTTTTTAAAGTAATTAGTAGTGCATCAAAATATATTTAATTAAATAAAAAAATATTTAATTAAATAATTTGTGTTTTTTTTAGTAAATATATTTAAAATATTATATTATAACTTAAAACTGTAAAAAATAGATTATAAAGTACTAAATACTGCAGAGATTTTGCTTAAAGTTATAGTAAATATTAATATATAAATTACTCTATGATATAAAAATTAGCAAAAAAAAATTTTAGTCAAAACAGCATTAGTTGTGTGCATACAAACATGCAATCAATTAGTAAAAAATTTAATTATTTCAGTTGTATTAATTAGTTATTAAGTTTGAAAATAATTTTTTTTTAAAAGTTTATTTTTTACCTTTTCGTAATAAAAAAAAATAATATCAATTTCTAATACTGTTATGCATTATTATTAATTGTAATTTAAATAGAGAATTAAAATCAATTATAAAATTGATTAAATATATATATATATTAAAAATAATAAATGACTATTAAAAAAAATAAATAAATATTTAAATAAATATTTCTTAATGCACTAGTAATTAGCCAAAAAAAAGTATAGAAATTTTCGTAATTAATAATATTATTAATAAATATACTATTGATCTATAGGTGCAATTGAATCGCCACATATACTGATGGTGTCGGGAGTCGGACCGCGTAAACAGTTAGAAAAGTTTGGTATACCAGTGTTGGCCGATTTGCCGGCAGTGGGCGAATACTATCAAAATCATCCGGGTGTTTCTATGAATTTCTTGCTAAACAATGAAAACCGATCCATGTACGGTACCGGTGCTCAAGTAACCATGGAAAATTTGCACGAATATTATGCCCATCACCGGGGTCCACTAACTAAACAATACCAGACTATTATCTATATGTCTACACCAAACAATACAGATAATGGTGGTACCGATTACCCCAACACTGACTTTGAAACCGGTATCTATCTGTTCCCTGAAAACCAGGACCAATGGACAGTACACTACGATCGCCAACAACAATGGGACGACTACTATAAGCAACAATTTCCAGGAAATTACTACTTTTTTGTACACACTTTACTACAGCGGGTCCGTAGTCGCGGCTATGTACGCCTACAGTCAGCCGATCCCTATGTCTATCCCATAATTAATCCAAACTTTCTCAACGATACCCAAGACTATGAAGATTTTGTCGATTCACTTAAGTTTATGTTTCGGTTTTTCGAGACCTCCTCTATTGCCCAATACTTGGCACCCATACGTCCGATACCGGGCTGTAAACTGTGTCCCGACGGCGGTTACATACATGACTGCACCGAATATATCCGATGTCTTATTGAACAGCAAACAG